GAGAGACACATCAGAGCAACACAAGCAACCATACCCCAGGCTATTCCAGCATTTAGTTTAATTTAACCAAGTATTTAATTCTGTTAAACCACAGCTTGGGTTTTACACCAATATGACCTTTGATATTTCAGAATATTCATATTAGATAGACTATTTTATGAATTTATCCTGTTAGCTGCCTAACTGACTCACTTTGCTCAGGTTTAGTGCGTTACCATCCTGACTAAATTCTATTCTATCTAATTTCTTTTTGCCATCTGCATACAATCAGTGCTTAAGTTCTTACCTATTTCAACTTTTGACAAAAAAAAAGCAGATGGTGAAGAGTCTGTTTATAGGTTTGTAATAGTTCCAGCACTTTCCAGAAGAGATGATTGACAAAAACCTGTTGTGAGACAACAGGTCTGCAATGGGTGATTTGTTTGATACTGACTGGTGAGTTAACAATCTGCAATATCAGTTTTGGCCCAAAGCTCACTGCAATTCCTGCAATGACTGTTTTATTTATTCACTCCAGTGTCTATGAAGTTTAGGTTATCATTTAATTCTAAACAAACTGCATACTGTGGATATTTATAACAGAGCAACCCATTAACCTCAATGTTTACCCAACTGCTCTGATTTCTTACAGTATTGTGACAGTTTTCCAGTTTTAAAAAACATGTTTCTATTTCTATGTATGAAATTTGATTCCCTCCACTGATTATGACATTTTAAGCAATTACTTTCCATTCTAATCATTTAGAAAGAAACTTTTATGATCAAGACAAAGATTTGGAAAAGAGAAAAAAATATCTATTACCTTTTACCAAGTATATTGCTCATTTTAAGATGAACTGTCAGGCAGACTGCTAAAAATGAATTCAAATGTAAGACAATTTTAAATTAACATGATAGATCATTTATACAAATAGATATATAATGCACAGCCTGAATTTTGGGGCAAAACGATCCCAATGAACTCAGAATTTAGGCCTGAAGCTGGAATACAGAACTGAAAATGTACATAAGCTGAGAAGACATTGATTAAAACATATACTTTTTAATTAACTCAATCCTATGCTAGTTTGCAGAAAGTGCCCCAGAGAAACAGAATGTTCAAATTTCAGAGCTTATTCAGAAATTTCTTTTAAGTCGGTACTGAAGATCTAAATGCCTTTTCTGAATATACAGTGTCGCATAACAGGGTCAGTTTGTAAGCTGCTTCTGCTTTCAAGAAAGCAAAGAGAAAATCAAGAAATCTCTCAGTAAGTGGGATACTCTTTCTGTATCTAAGAAGAAAGAGTCTTCCCCTGCCTCAATTAACTCTCTCACATGAAACAAAGAAACAAACAAAAAAGGTAGGGTACGTTTCTTTTTATTTTCCCAAATTCCAGGATTCCTCTCTGACCTTTCATCTTCCAGTACAAAATAAAAACCATGGCAGAACACAGTACCTGACTAAATACAAAATAAGTGCTCAATTAAAAGAATATAATGGAAACAGCCAGGAGGGAATTTTAAAATTCCATTTGTTCTGACCATATGCTGTAAAGATACAAAGAATGTGCTAGATAAACAGTGTTTTCATTGAAAATATTTATTGTTGGAGATGTTTATCAAGTGTAATGTTATTTCTTGACCAAAGAGAAACAAATAGATTGTGTTTTTCTTAACTCTGAAGTTGTTAGCAGTGTCTTGAAGAAGTCCCTGAAGAGGTTATTGTTCAAAGGTTTGCAATGAACATTATCAGCTGAAAACATTTCACCATGTTCTCTAGACTCAAGATTTCTTCTTGCCAACAATATAATTTACCTGCTCTCTTATCTCTCTATAAATTCAGAAAGAGATGAAGCCTCAATGACGCTTAGAGGCCGCCACTTTTAGAAATATAATGTGCTTAAACTTAGATCTATTATTTTTATAACTCATGTCAGTCATGACTGTCAGACAGTCTGTCACAGATGGTAAATGACATTGCAATGTAGTTTTAGCTACGCTACTTTTCTAGCTTACATGTCAGCTCAGCAAAAACAAATACATAAGAGGAGGAAGGAAAGAGCCGGAAGGGCATAGAGAAAGAAAATCCCCTTCACTCCGCTTCATCTAAAGTGAGACGCGAACTAATCCTTCTCAGTTTCAATTATTTGCAGCGTATCCTCTGAGCCAAGACCTGACACAGGGAGTTAGACTGGGGCTGTTGGGTTTCCTGACTGCAGGAAGTTGTTCACAGGCCCCAAAGAGCAACCAGCCACAATTCCCTCCACAAACATAAAAACAGCAGAAAAACAGAAGCAAGTAAACAAGAATGAAAAAAAAAAAAAAGAAAGTTTCCAAAAAACATTCATGAAAAAAATAACTTTATATATATATATACATATATCTCAGAAGAAACAATTATTTAAGAGCGTTGACTGGGGAAACCAAGAAGAGTAAAAGGGTAAATTTATAAAGTGCTTGCTGTTAGAAGATTCAGAGGTCCTAGTGGAGGATCTCAATTAAAAGAGATATTTCTAGGATGTAGATTATGCTACAGTGGGCAGAACAGAAGAAAACTTGTTTAATGAATAATCATAACCACACTAATTGATGTTAAGCAAGATATTAAAGTGGTGGCAAATAACTGGTAGAAGTAACTCCATATGAACCCTACAGAGACCCAGGGACTTTTGCCCTCACACACATGTGGGGGCAGCTCCCAGCAGCTCCCAGTAAGGGCAGCGTGGGCCACCGGGACCCCGCTATCTTGGTTGCGCAGTCCCTGATGCCCTGGCTAGAGACTCCAGCGGCAGCAGACAGCGGGACGAGCAACTCTTTCTGCATGGGCTCAGCGCTTGGGGCTGATGAGATCTTCGCATGGGGCAAAACTCCTCAGTGGTGGCCAGTGACAGGACAAGGGGAAATGGGTATAAATTAAACGACGGGAAGTTCCATCGTTATGTGGGGAGGAACTTCTTTCCTGTGAGGATGACAGAGCCCTGGAACAGGCTGCCCAGGGAGGTTTGGAGTCTCCTTCTCTGGAGATCTTCCAAACCCGCCTGGATGCTGCCCTGTGCCCCGTGCTCTGGGTGTCCCTGCTTGAGCAGGGGGCTTGGACTAGATGATCTCTAGAGGTCCCTTCCAACCTCAACCGTTCTGTGAACTCCATGCATGGTTTCTTGGCTCAAGCGCTGGCTTCTGGGAGGCACCAAACTTCCACAGCTGAAGTTAGGAACCTGGGGCAGGTTAAACTGCCTTAACTTGCCACAAAACTGAACCTGTAGCATCTACCCACACAGCAGATTGTATCTATCAATTGCTAAATCAGACTCTCACTGTAAACATTCCTATACCAGCACTGCTGCCAGAGGTAGGAATATCTTGCCTGGAATCTGCCTCCTTGAGATCCCTCCTTTGAACCCTTTTGGTCAGAACACTGATCCCTTCTTTGTGCTGCCACAAGCATTCGCATGATCAGATCCTTGTTTTTGAAACATTGATGTTTGTCCCCTAAGGGCACAGCTAGCTGACCACATCTCTGACCACAGAGATCCTGTTCCATTGAACAGCCATCAAGATGCTTAACTACCTTCCAGACTCGGCGCTTCAAGAGAAGCCTATATTAAGAGATGTCTCTTAATATGTTTTTTTTTTAACCCTAGGCATAATAGCTTCACATTTGATTTACTGAAATGCTTGATAGTGGGTTTTTGTTTTCTTTTTCTGTCTTAATAGAGAGGCAAATGAAGGAAATAGCCAAACACTCGTGTGCTCAGAGATGTTCCAGGTAACGATCCCTCTTGCAGTTCTATCATTTTAAGTATATAGCACTAGTCCATGTAGATCAACGGGATCTCTACTGTCAGATGCTCCAAAGAGTGATGCAAACATTGTACCTGACAGCAGTGAAATAGACTTTTCTATGCTTCTACTCATTTCTAAAACTTAAGAGATTGCCTTGAACTCTCTCATGCAACAGTTACTAAACCCCTTAAACTATGAATCAGTGAAGACAATGGTAGATCTTTCGTTGATTTTACTTCGCATTAGGAGACAGAGAGGACCTGTTTCTATATACCACAGTCTTTGCATGCAATTTCCTCATCACAACTAAAGCCACCTAAAACAGCAACCAAGGTGCAGGGTATACCAGCCACTCCACAGCAGTTACTGTGGCTGGGACCCTGTATAAGCAAGCAAACAACAAGGTGCTTGAAATATCGTATTAGGAGTGCAATGGATAATTTATATTAAAAAAAAAGTACATTAAAATGGTACCAAGGATTTAGCAAGCTGCATTAGAAACCTCCATTTACTCATATAATGCCTCCAGTGAGCAGCGACAATGCGCTGTTGCAACATCATTCTACATTAGTTATAACAACAATAGTAAAGCAAATACGGTGTAAATGCTCGGACATCTTTGCCGTGCAAGGAACAACTAGCATTTCCAATAACAGCAAACTGTGGCAGTTCGGCAGCTTCTTCATCAGGAGCTTATCCCTTCATGAAGTAAATGGAAAAGGTGGGTAGCTGATGGTCTATTCTGTCAGCATAAAGTGCTCTCCCTCTCTCTGTTTGGGTGCAAACGCTTTAAACGAAAAGACAAGATCTAGGAAATTCTTTATCTCCTGGCACTCTCCAACAAAAAAAGCAAAACATTTAAAGGCAATTATTTTTTCCCAGCTCCCATATTTAGTGCCTCTGCTTCCATTTCTGGAACTTTTGACTAGTGTCACTGCCCTTTCCCACTCCTTGAAGATGCAAAACAGTACTTTTATGATGCTGAAAACCACTGACATCTCAATTACTTCAAACACATCAATTTGCAGTCCTTTTTTGACTGAAATCTTTGTTAGGTATGCTTACACATGGCATTAATTTTTACAGTGACGCATGCTTTGATGCATTGCATTCTATACAGGTCTAAACATTTGGACTGACTTACGGCAAAGTTTTCAAAAATCGCAGTGAGCAGAAAGTTTAATGCAGAAGCCACAAAGTCATTACCAAGACCCCAGCAGGTGCATCACGTAACTTACCAAACAGACGCTGATGGAACAGAAATTTCCCAGCTATCAGTCCTGTGAGAATGGCAAGCAACCACAGAAGCACCTTCAGGAATATCCAGCCTCCTCCTTCAGGGTATTTATTTGCGACAAATGAGAAACAATTACCAACAACAATAACATTGGCTTCCGTCTGACTGTGCGATACGGGATCTTCAGCAAAGATTAGGAAGTTGAAGAAGATGACTAAGTAAGCCACAACTAAGCGAGACCAGGGGTGCTGGAAGTAGTAGCGGAAATCTTTATCCATCCTCAGGTCCTTCAGAACCGTCCTGTGCCTGTAGGCAAAGACACAAACAGACACTGTTACACAAACCAAGAAATCTGGGAGCTTGGGAGATCTCCGTGCCTTACAAAAACCAAACCACTGTCACCTTTTAATCAGTCACTCTTGATACGTCAGGCTTGACAAGCAGTGAAGGCTCCAATCAGAAAGCACTGCTACAGCCAGAGAAAAACTGCAATTTCAGCCAATTCCCCCATAAAAACAAGCAAGCAAAAGCATGTACATTACAGCACAGTATTTTTAACCTCAAGCACTCTCTGTATTAGCTTTTTAAAGGTACAGCTTTAAAGGCACAGTCACGGCATGAAAATATAGTGCACAAGAACATGATAGGTTGCATGAAACTCGAGTGTCTTTCCTTCCACATTCCAAAAGTGTGACACAGGTCCCACGTAGGTTACTAAATTGAACCTTTCTCTTTATGGGAAAAGCACAGGGTGGGTCCAGCAAGGTCTACTGCCTCATCTCCCGGAAGTTTATGAATATAAACCCCAGCCAGCCACACCAGGAAGGCGTGTTTATATGAAGCACTATCATAATGGAAAAGTTCCTACAATTAATCCTTACAGCCCTGACAAGTCCATGGAAATTATTCTATTGATTTTAAACACTACACCAGTAATTAACTATGTATTTATAAACGGAAAACAAGAGTACTCTGAGCAGAGGCTGTTTTGTATGAATACAAAAACTCTATTTTAGAACTTGTTTACATACGTAGCACAGACAGTGCAAAATACAGCAGAGAATGGCTAACATTTCAGTTGTTTGTCATTTTATTTCTTCTCTTTTATTCAGAACAAAGTACTTGTTTCATCCTCTTGAATCACTTTGTATTCCTAAAAATATAAAGCCTTTATTTTGTGGAACACCACAGTTATTCAAGGGACTCAGAGTGTGGGAAGAATTGGAGGAGAAAAATAAAAGATAAAATCACTTGTTTACCACAGCCTGATCTCTGAAAAACACATTATACTTAATTGAATAGTACAGAGTTTTGTAAATGAGACCTGCCCTGTGGGAAAAGAAAAAATAAAATAAAAATCAATCAATCAATCAATTACCCATTGCTTCTATGACCATGGACTAAATACTACTTTGTAAACTTACAAATGGCCTGTCACTTAAAAGCTGTTTAATTCAAAGATCCAAATTATCATTGTAGAAGCACACAGAAACCTGTGCCCAGTCAAAGTAAACAGGACAGCAAACGCTCTGTTGGCAGATTTGGACAGCACATCCAGTAAATAACAATAACAAAAAAAA